AAGCATTAGAAATAGTTGTATGGCATCTTCCTCTTCAATTTGCCCAAAAGAACTAAGAATTTCCTCTTCAGTTGACATTTCATCAATTGATATATATTCCTCTGCTGTTAATGCTGAACTGAAATTTAATCTATCATTAAATTATCAATAGTGATGGTTGTAAGCTTATCAATTTCTTTTGAATCGAAACCATTTTGTTTCTTAATAAAAATTTTAATATTCCTTGCAACAAATAATTCTGGTAACTAGATGTAAATATAATATAAACACCTATTATAATAAATAATTTAATAACTTATTTTGAAAATACAAACCTTAAAAGAATGAATGATCCCTGCATCACATTGTTGCAAGTGCACAGTTGTATTTGGAGGCAAATGATAAATTTTTATATTTGCTAACTTTGAATTATCCATTAAAAATATGTGATTTGTGCATTGTCATTAAGTAATAATGCCATTACTCAAAAAAAATTATTATGTTCCTAACCACATTTTGCTAGAAATCACCTCATTTATGAATAAATAAAGGAAATAACCAGTCACATTACAAGTTAATAATACTGTAAGCCTGGAATAGGAGCTGCTAATAATCCACAAGTTGGTTCCATTTTCCAATAAAGATCTGTCTCATGGTGATTAAAAATACCCACTTTTTTATAATTTTTAAGAACATCTTTCAATTCTTCTCTCATTTCAGGAATCTGTTCAATAGGCGCATTTTGAGATTCCTCATGTTTATTATATTCTTTAATCAAATATCTTTGCTTGAATTTATTAAGCCAACCAGGTTAGTAATGGGCATAAAAATTGTTTTGAAAAATGATAGTTTATCAAGTACTTAATAGCTCTATTATTAAGTGTTAAAAAACACAGTGTGGCATATTTGGCAAATCTTTTATGGGTAACAAAAATGATTTTATTATTATTATCCAACAAAAATATATATTTGAGAATAAAAAAATACTATGACTAAACAATTCAATTAATAATTAATTAATGTATAAAATTCATGTGTGGTGTGGAATGTGCAGTGCTAACTAAATTTTGGTAATTATTCACAAAAATCCACTGACAATAAGGTTGCTTGCCAAAACCTCTTAATGATTGACAGAACCCCCAAATGTGAAATTCTGCCAAAGCTCTTATAAACAATTAACCTGTCAAAACTCTATTGATTGATTTCTGGAGGAGTTTTGCCCACAACCTTAGCTGTCAATTACCAAATT